CTCATACATGCGGAATCACAAAATGAGGAAGTGTACATAATTTTGACAGCTAAAACTCATTCTCACTCTTCCTGAATCGCAAAATGAAGAGTGCACACAATTTTCAGTGTACACTTGAAAACTCACAGTTACAAAATAGAGCCTCTGGTTCGCAAAAGAAAAGCCACAATTGTAATCGAGCTGCTCTCTCTCAATCTTAACTCTGTAATAATCGCACGTGTAATAAAGGCTAATAAAAAGCTGATAATTTCACAATATAGCTATCTGCGTTTCTTTTATAATCGATCGCAGGCGAGTGAATATCATCAGGTTCCGTATATTCTACTGATCATTTTCTACAGGTTATTAGGCCCAGAAGAGTCGTGAAATTCCAAGAAATTTAATTCGCAACAAGGTTTATTCATAAAAAAAAATGGCGGACTCAGTTAAACATAAATTCGAAAAGTTGAACGATATCAATTATGCTAATTGGAAATTCAGAATGGAGTTGCTGCTGCGAAAGCAAAATTTATGGAAAAGGGTGATTATGGAGGGAAGACCGGAGCCAAAGTTGAATGGTAACCATGAAGTAACAAATCAGAGTGCCATCGTTAAATGGGATGAGCTTGATGATGAAGTAAAGGGTACAATTGGCCTGGCTATTGAAGACGATCAACTTATCCACATTCGCTCGATGTCAACGGCAAAGAGATAGGGAGAGAGGGACGCGTTAAAACAGTACCATGAAAAGAATACATTGGCAAGCAAGGTGTATTTAGTCCGGTCGATTTGCGCGTTGAAGTTGGAAGAAGGCGGTGATGCAAAAGCACATATTAACAAAATGCAGGATTTGTTTACGAGACTGAACGACCTAGGTGAGCAACAACTATCGACATTATGGAGCAAAATATTTTTACTTAGCAGCTTACCGCAAAGCTATGATACATTTGTCTCTGGTCTTGGTGCACGTGATGAAATTGAGGTTACATTCGATGTAGCAAAACAAGCAGTGATTGCGGAATTTGAGCGGCATGTCAAAGCAAAAGGTGCCTCAAATGATTCAGTTTTAAAGACCGTTGCAAAAGTAAGCGTTTGTTTCCTCTGCAAGAAACCTAAGCATCAAAAGAAAAACTGCCCCAAATACAAAGCAAACAAGAGCAGCAGCAAGAAAGGTCACTCTCGCAGTAGCATTGCTTGGAGGAAGTACTAATACAACAACAAGAGCAAGCGCATCAAATTATACAACAATCTTCACATCAATCTTCACAAAAATTGCAAACAAAGCAACAAGCTGACCGGATTTCGATACAAGAAGTGAAAAAGTCGTCAAATTTTGCAAAGTTGTAACGAAACCGATTTTTTGTGAACCATTACAAATGATTTGCAACTCTTAATATATATTAAAAGAAAGGTAAATCGATTACATTTCTTTTGATTGTAATATTGTTAGAATTGATTAACTATTTTATAGAAATTTTGCAACTTTTGAAAACATCTATATTTAAGAAGTGAAAAAGTCGTCAAACTTTGCAAAGTTGTTACGAAACCGATATTTTGTGAACCATTACAAGTGAAATCGATTACTTTTCTTTTGATTGTAATATTGTTAAAATCGATTAACTATTTTATACAAATTTTGCAACTTTTGAAAACAGCTATATGCAAAGGAGTAGTAGTAATAATAAGCAATTAAGCGACCACATATGAGTAGTCCACTTGCAAACAGCGTTATGTGATTTTATAATAGAAGCCATAAATTTGAAAAAACGACTACGACAACAAGTAACATTTAAATTGAATCTTTTTTATTATTACCTAAAAAGTTGGATAAATAAGAGCCTTATCAAATTGTAACATAATATAACATGACATAAGATAACATCAACAGTCTATATGACCTAAAGCAGTTTTCTAAGTTCATCAGAAGATGTATAGTTTTGAAAGTTTATAAATAAGTGTGATAGCGACTTTTGGAAGAAAAGTTAACATTTGATGCTATCTTTTTCAGAATATAAACAGATTTTGCACTGTGTTGTTAGTGGACATGAAACTACTATAAATACTGGTACGTAATCCTCCAAAAACTAGAAATCGAAAAAATGTTACATAGCACACTTTGCAAGTGGACTACTCATATGTATGTAAAAATATCTGTATTATTAATGTTAATTGTAATTTTTATTCATAATATTGATTACTAAATATGTATATTAGGTTAACAATGCATTTTGAAAAATAAATTTTACAAAAAGAAAAATAAAAAATTTTAAGATTTTTTATTTAAAGTTTTTAAGGCTATTTTGAGTTCGCTGTGAAGAGAATGCAACCCTGTGCTAGCTGAAGTGGGCAATGCTAGACGAGTGCAGCTATATGTTTTCCTTACGAAGGATCTGCGACAGTGATGCAAGGCTCACACGTACGGGGGGAAACTGGTGAAAATCTGCACACCGACCATACAAAATTCACCAGATTTTTCACCAGTTTTGAAGTGAATGAATCCCGCGGTTCACCAGATTTTTCACTACTTTTGGCTGGCAGGGTGTACATTGTATTGTTTCTTATGCTGATGCCAGATAAAACTTTGTAGCTTTGCGTGACATTTATAACTTTGCCAGCGAAGCGCCGGACGCAAAAGGTATGCCACAATGAACGCAAAGAAAACAATTATTTACTCCTTTTTTACTCGTCAAAATTGCTGTTTTATTTTTTATTTTTATTTTTTTTTTTCGCGGGCAGGGGGGTCGAAAATGCCTATTGCATCATCAAAGCTGTCGTCACAACAATGGTATATCCGGAGACTAAAACACTCCCCCCGAATTGGAACCGTCGCCCACCCTGGGACCACTAATCGCATTGCTTCAGGGTGGCGTTCCATATTTCTCATTAACTAAAGTTCCCTCGGTGCACCTGCGTCCAGGTCCCGCTTCTTGACTCTAAGTAGGTATTCTGCATATTTAGCTATGTTCTTCCAGTTAGTTTCGCTATGTAGCATGGCTTGGATAACGTTATCTGGGTTAATTGGTCCTACCAGGTCTTGCAGATTATTGCGCTCGGCTTCCCATCTTTTGCATCCGAAGAAAGTGTGCTCGGCATCGTCTTCTTCTGCGTCGCTGTATATGCATGACGGCTCTTCGGCTTTTCCCATTCTATACAGGTATTTGCGAAAGTAACCATGCCCAGACAGCATTTGTGTAACGTAAAAGTTTACTTCGCCATGTTTTCTTTGTGTCCAAAGTTCCAGGTCTTTTATTAGCCTGGCCGTCCATCGGCCGCGGCTTTCGTTTTGCCACCTATCTTGCCATAGTCTTAGTGTCTCGTTTCTTACTCTTTCCCTTTCGATGTCACTTGGTTTCGTTTGCGCCTTAAGCTCCCACATTTTCTTGCGCTCGGCTGCTAGTAGATCAATGGGAACCGTTCCGCTTATCACGAGTATTGCCTCGCCGGACACTGTACGGTACGCAGAGGCTACTCTTAAAGCCGCAGTGCGATGGGCTCTGGAGAGTATCTTGCAACGGTTATTTTTCTGTAGCGTGTCAGCCCAGATCTCCGCTCCGTATAGCAAAATATTCAAGGTTGTGGACATTAGAAGTTTTCTTTTACTTTGGGTCGGTCCACCAATATTGGCCATTAATCTGCTTAGATAAGCCGTTGCCTTTGCTGCTTTTGCGGCTGCGTGCTGCATTTGTGCCCAATACGTTAGCCTGGGGTCTAGCCTTACACCTAAGTACTTTATTACTCTTTGTGTCTTTAATGTAATGCCGGTCAGTTTCATGCTCACTTCGAAGGGGATATGCTTCTTAGTTAGGAGTATTAGTGCAAATATTGGAAGGAGTTTAGTATTTTCTTAGCTCTACAGCCGCATTTAGGTGAGCATTAAAATGCCCCACAATGATTCCAAAAGTAAAACGCAAGTAAAAACGAGTCTTAAAGTTGGAATGTTTTATTCGGCTCATCGCCGTTCTTTTATATGCTTACAATCTACCTTATGAGTAATCTAATTTATAAACTTACATTTCTAAGTTGTTAGTCATGCTTATGATTCTACGTTGTTGTGCATGCATACATAAATGTATATGGGTTCAATCGAGTTTATGTTATTGGAGAAGTGCAGCGCAAGCTAAATTGATTTGAGTACTTTGGCCTAGTTATTGCCAAAAGTATATTGAACTTTTTACTTAATATTGTGTGAACATTTTGTTTTGCTTAGCTGTCATGCTACATTAGCTCGGTTTTCTCTGCTGCAAGTTTAAGACCGTGTGAGTCGAGCCATGCCTGTGTTCTTATCATAGTCTGATTTAATTTGCGGCGAGCATCTTCGGTGTCTCGTGCGGTGATCACTGCGGCAATGTCGTCAGCGTAGCCTACTAAGTATGTGTCATCAGGCATCTCAAGGTTTAATATTCCATCGTAGCTGATGTTCCACAGGTCTGGCCCAAGAATGGAGCCTTGTGCTGCGCCCGACGTGATCGTCATTTGCCGGGGTCCATCGGTGGTATGGTATAATAACTCCCGGCCTTCTAGATAGCTTCTAACCATGAGTCTAAGGTACGTGGGTATGTTGTAGACTTCTTCTAGTGCGTGTATCATATTTTCCCATTTTGCGGTGTTGAAGGCGTTGCGAACGTCTAAGGTTGCAAGCAGGACTAGCTTTTTGTGTTGGTATGCGGCTTCCACTGTTGTTGTTACATGTTTTATAGTCCAATTGTAGATCTCCCGGGCCTGAACCCGTACTGTCTTGAAGAAAGTCCGCCGCCGCTGGCGATAGCCGCTTCTATTCTAGGTTTTAGCAGCCTTTCTAAGAGTTGTTCAGCTGTGTCCAGCATACATAGTGGTCGATACGCTGATGGTGAGTCAAGGTTTCCCTTTCCTTTGCTGATTAAGACGAGCTGCTGCCTTTTCCAAATTTCTGGGAATATTCCGTTCTTGAGGCAGGCATTGTACATGTTTAGAAGCACATGAGGGCGTTCTGCGGCGATTATTTTTAGAACTTCTCCTGGAATGCCGTCTGGGCCTGGAGCTTTCTAGGCCTTTATTATATTTGTGGCAGCCTTGAGCTCTTCTGCGTTGAATAGTGGTGCTTCTTGAGGAACGATGATAGGCTCAGCTTCTTTGGTTAACGCGTCATGCGTGGGAAAGAGTTCACTTACTATATGGTCCACTTTTTGAGCGCTAAGCTCTGGTGGTTTTGCCATGGCCCCAAGTTTTTTCATTACCACCTTATATCCGAGACCCCAGGGATTTCTGTTTATATCTTCACGCAGTTCTTCCCACTTTCTGTGCTTGCTGGCCTCGATTGCTCGTTTGAGTTCTTTTCTGGCAGCCTGGTATAGTTGTGCCTCTTCGATTGCAGCGCTCCTACGCCTGGCCCTGGTGTAAGTACGCCTCAGGTGGAGGCACGTTCGTCTGAGTTGAGCTATGTTTTCCGTCCACCAATATGCAGGTCTTTTGTGGCGATTGCTTCCGGTTTTTGGCATCGCTTGGTTACAGGCGCTGGAGATCATTTTCATTGTAATCTCTACTGTTTCCATTGCGTTCTTGTAAGATGAATCTTCTGAGCCATGCGCATCTAGTTCAGATAGTAGTGCTTTCCTATTTAATTTCGAGACATTCCATTTGCGAGTGCTACATTGCATCTTCGTTCGTAAACCATCGTTTGTGGAGTCTATTATAAAGGAGATATATTGGTGATCGCTACCAGTGTAGTCTTCCAATACTTTCCATTCCTTTATGGTGCCTGCTATGCCTTCTGATGCTAATGTAATGTCTGGCGTGGTTTCCTCGCATCCTGGTCTTCGGAAGGTTGTTGCTGTGCCAGTATTGAGCACTATAAGTCCGAGTCGGGCTGACATTTCTAGCACGCGTTTGCCTCTGGAGTCCGTGTTTGGCATTCCCCACTCCGTGGCTCTTGAGTTTAGGTCTCCTGCCATCAGAAGGGGTCCTTCCAAGTTCATGGCCGTATCTTCGATGTCGTCGAGTTTATCTTGGAAGTCTTGTATGCTGTCGCTTGGTGTCAGGTAGCAGCTTATTATTTTTATATGGTTGTGTCTGGCCCAGACGTAGCCGTGTCCATATCCCTTTTCCGAGATGTGCATGCTGCTTCCGGGAGGTACCCATATAGCAGCGGTACCACTGCTGTCTTCTATCCAGATCCCGTTTTCTTTTTTCTTATACTGTTCGCTTATGATTACAAGGTCATAATGCCGCTCAGTGATCATCTGTGTCAGTAGCGCTGTGGAATTTATATATTTTGCTTTAAAAATAGCATAAATGTAATTAAGTTTTATGTTTCTACATGAAAACTCGAATTTGGCTGAAACAAAATAAATAATGGTAATTTCACAATATAGCTATCTGCGTTTCTTTTATAATCGATCGCAGGCGAGTGAATATCGTCAGGTTCCGGATATTCTACTGATAATTTGCTACAAAGGAAAGTACTTGTATTACATTGTGTAATGCAAATAGAGAATCTGTTTGTTTATGCAATTCTTTCCTTCATTATTTAGAACGATTACCTGCATATTTCGGGATGGTCACGTGCATGGTAACTTCACGAAAGTGTTGTTGGTTTGTTCCAACCACTTTTGGGCATGACTACATCATGCGTTATCACAAATATTTTATGCTTCCATTGTGCTTTGATTGACGGTAAGCTACTTTTTAACCATTCCATTGTTCATATTTCCATTAAATTAAAGCAACATATCTCAATTTCTTACTAAAGAGCCAGATAATATTTCCCTGCAGATAAGCCAATTTTTTTGCCGGAAGGTAATTTATTTATTTATTTATTACAGTCATTTGACCTATATACATTCACGTATATACATTTGAATTATGTATTGCAAAATTAGTATATAATAAAAGTAAAATTAATGTTTAAAATAAGTTAACCTGTTACACTTTTCCTTCTAAGCTATATAATAATTTATGTATATTTAACTAAGATAGTATATTCTCGATGCTGTTGGAATGGACGTGATTCCAAGCAGTACTATATCACGACATGCGGTCTAAGAGTGTAATTTCCAGAGCCGCCACAACTAGGCGGTTGGAAAGCACTAGTTTCGAAACCGCCTCTTATAGACTTCTCTACCGGCAGGCGATCTGAATTGACGAGATCCAGAGTCGCGCTGTTTGATCGGACGGAAAGGACTACATAGTTTTCATGCCGATCTTCTTATTTCATACATTACGGGTGATCTGAATGGACTAGATCCACAGTCATCCAGCTAGTACGGATGGAAAGGACTAGTTTCCATGCCGGACCTTTCCATCTAATAGCCAATGTTCTACAGTGATCAAGTAGCAGACTTTTGAAGGTACCAACGTTTTCACAATTTTTTATTTGAGCTGGAAGTTCATTGTAACATTGTAATCCCTTATAAAAGATATTCCTCTTATCTATTTCCGTTTTATACAGCGGCAGCCTGAAGCTATTATTTTCCCTGAGTAAATACGAAAGGGTTTCACTATTATATCGTAGCATATCACTCAGATAATCTGGAAGTCTACCTTGTTTTATGTTAAACACGAATTTCATAGCGGGATAGAAAATTTGCTGTTTCACGCTCAGCTAGCTTAATTCTGCGATCATTTCCTGTATGCGTGTGTCGTACCGCTTGTTCAAGATAAATCGCATAGCCTTTTTTGCATTTTTTGAAGCTTATCTATTTGTGTGTCGCTTGCTATAAAAAAGATTGTTGGACAGTATATGAAATGTGGTTCAACTATAGATCTGTAGACCAGAGTATTATACCTCCTTCCCACGACAGCCGGTTCTACGTAACGGAATGACTCGGGTTTTACCCGACCAAGGGCTGTTGTTTCGGCGATCTAACCCCGTTTAGGTCGGCGAAGTATCTCAGAAGTTGTTCGTCCATAGAGCTACATTCGCTACGTATTCTTCTGCTCAGGGCCGGTCGAGTCAAACCCAGGGCCAGAAACCTACACCTGCTGTGTATGCCAGAGACGACTACACCACAACTCCACCTCAGTCAAGTGCAATGCTTGCGAGGGGTGGAGTCACCTCAGAGTCTGCTCAGGATCACGGACACATCGGCAGTGGACCACGTCGTTTGTGGCCCCTGCTGCTCAAATAGAGTAGCCTCCACGGCTAACCCCAGTCCACCTGAGCAGCTCCACATAAACACCACAGTACAGCAACATAACACAATAGAACACACCACAACTACGATAGACCACAGAACATACACAACCGCACCACCACCCACACGCCGCCGCCAACAACTCCTGGTTTCTCCCACAATCTGCACGGTATGTCAGACCAGGATATTACGTAATGTGACACCAGTCAAGGGCAACACCTGCCTTGGGTGGTGCCACTTTAGGGCATGTTCAGGTCTGAGCACCACGCGAGATTGGGCGAGGAACTTCGAGGGCCCGTGTTGCGCTCCACGGTCGCAAACCCCAACTGCGACGCCACCCACTACCACCACAGGGCGGCAACCACCACAGCAGCTCACACAGCCAATGCACCATACATCTCTCACACCCCGCATTACTACACGTCTCCCGAACCACATGAAGCTCCTTCAATTTAACTGTAACGAGTTTCAAAGCAGGATCGAGGAGATAAACGTCTTCATGGGAGGGCATGGTATATTGATAGCTGCGGTCCAAGGGACGAAGTTGCACAGCAATTCAACATTGTTAGATTGTGTCGGGTACAACGTGCACCGTCAAGATCACGAGCGAGATAATGGTGGTGGCTTAGCGTTCATCACGCACCACACCGTGCAGTATCGTCTTATTGAAGCAGACATCGACCGCAGGGATACCACCCTAGGATGTCAGGGAATTGCTATCCGGTCAGGCGATGTTGAGCTCGAAATATTTAATGTGTACATACCCCCTGTCACCTGCTCCCCAGCAGGATATCACCCTAATATAGGTGCGCTCCTCAGAGATGAAAACCGTATGGTAGTAGGTGACTTTAATGCGCACCACGATCTTTGGCACTCAAGCCTGTCAAACAATCGTAGGGGAACTGACTTGGCTGAGCAGATAGACGATTCGACATTCTGCACAATGAACGACCACGCATCCACCAGCTGCTGCAGCTCGCCAGACATAACAATAGGCAGCGCTGGTCTGATAAACAGCATTTCATGGCGACCTATGCTAACTCTGGCATCAGACCATCTGCCCATAGTCATCTCGATCGATAAACCAACCGAATTTACTTCCGTGGAACACCGGACCTATATAATCTTTTATAAAGCTGATTGGAAAGGCTTCGCGGAATTTACTGAAAACACCTTCGCTGCGCTCCCCACACCAACCGACGTCCACCTTGGTGAACGTAAGTTCCACAGGGCTGGCACCGCTGTTGCAGCTCGATTCGTACCGGCAGGATGCATAACGGACCAACGTCCGAATTTCCCTGCTGAAGCGGCTGGTCTAGCCGATGAGCGTGACAGCCTTCGTCAGGCCGATCCCGGAGATCCCCGTACCAGGGATCTCAACGCGAAGGTTCGGCAACTAGTGAACGTACATAAGCGGAAGAAGTGGGAAGAGCATCCGAAGACCTGTAACTTCACCTCTGGTGTGAGTAAGCTTTGGTCAACCTTGAGGTCACTGTACAATCCGACGAAGCATGACGACAGGGTCGTAATTTCTTTCGGCGGCCATGCTTCGTCGGACCCGGAGCGATGCGCGAGCTATTTTAGCCGGAAGTTCATACTCCATCCTCCGGCGGACAAACTCAAGCGTCTAGTGACCATAAGGCTGCTCAAACTGCCAACAACTTGCTTTCACTTTCGGTGAAGTTCAGGTGGTCATAGGAAGGCGAAAGCCTCCAAAGCCATGGGTCCCGACGGAATATGCATGTTGATGCTGAAAAATTTGGGTTCTGCGGGAGTAGCGGAGCTAACGGAGGTCCTCGATTTGTCAATGGCCACTCTCATCATCCCAAATACTGGAAGGTGGGGAGAGTGGTTCCACTGCTCAAACCGGGAAACCAGCCAACAAAGGAGATTCGTATCGACTGATAACACTCCTTTCCCCGGTAGAGAAGTTACTAGAGGCCTTGCTGCTCCCGTATTTCATGAACAACCTGACCCCAGCGAGGCATCAGCATGGTTTTCGTAAAATGCACAGTACAACAACAGCACTTAACGCCATAAACACTTAGATAACTCGTGGCCTTACCCGTTACCGTCGCTGTGAGAGAACCATCTTAGTAGCGTTAGTGGTCGGCACTCGTCGGTAATGTTTAGAGACAAATCGAGCAAACTCAGAAAAATAAAACCGGGGGTTCCACAGCGTGGTGTCCTTTTCCCGCTACTGTTTTAACTTTTATATTTCAAAGATCCCTCAAAAACCAGAGGGAGTCTCGATTGTCTGTTACGCCGACGATTGCTCGATCAAGGCGACTGGGAATGGAATTGATGTCTTGTGTTCGAAAGTAAACGGGTATCTCTCCGAGTTTTCTCGCTTCTTCACTGCAAAGTTTCTAGCCCTCTCCCCTACGAAATCCTCTGCGGCCTTGTTCACCACCTGTACGAAGGAGGTCAGGCCACCGCTGGGAATTCACGTCGATGATACACCAAATCCGACGGTGAATAACTCCAAAATACTCGGAGTAACATTCGACAGTCTGCTCTCCTTCTCTGCGCACGTAACCGCTATTGTCAATAAAGTCCAGAGCCGCGACAAGGTCCTCAAGTCGCTAGCCGATAATATTTGGGCAAATACAAAGAAACGTTGCTGGCAACATACAAGGCAATAGGCCGGCCCGTTTTAAATTACGCAGCACCAGTGTGGTCGCCGGGAGCTAGTAGGACGCAGTGGATGAAGCTACAGACAACACAAAACACTGCACTTAGGACAGCGACTGGATGCATTCTGATGTCGTCAGAACACCACCTGCACGGCGAGGCGAAAGTGCTCTAGCTGCTCTAGATATGACCATAAACTTTGTCTTATTCACATTTAATTGCAGTCTGTTTACGCACAACTATTTATACAAACAATGAAGGTCTTCTTGCATTTTAATCATTGCATTGGGTAGATTACTGTCACTGTTCGGTGTTATCTATACCAATATATTCGAGTTTTTTTTTAGCATTATTTTCCTGTCGATCGTCTCGAAGGCTCTCTTAAGGTCCACAACCACCGCCAAGATAGTCTTCTTGTAATTCATGTCCTCCTTCCATTGTTATAAGATCAAGTTTAGCGCTGTTTCGCATGAGGGGTTAGCCCTAAAACCTGACTGCTCCTTAATGAATATTTTATTTGCTTTTTTACAACCGTTTCCAGTATTTTTTCGAAGTTGAGAAGACTGTTTATTGGTCTGAGTTCCTCCGATATTATGGTGTTTTTGACCTTTTTTATTGGGACAATGGTCGATGTTTTCCGTTCTGTCGGAACTATTCCCAACTGAAGGCTTTAAATTACTAATAGGGCATAAAAGTGACCCATGTATTCAACGGAGTGTTTGATTACGACCCCGGGTAATAAATTTTTTCCACCAATTTTTATCTTGAACTTTTTCACTATATGGATAATATCATCTGTATCGGTTGAATCGGATCATAATTAACGTTTTATATATTCCTATTAATATCGATACTATCAACAAAGAAATTGTTTAACTTGTCAGCGGTTTTAGTACTATTTCTATATATTTTACCGTTGATTAGAACTTCTTTGATGTTTTCTTTGTGATCTGTATTACTGAACATATTCTTCAAATGTTTCCACATTAAACGACTATCACCTCCATTAATTTCCACCTCGTATTCCGTATTTTTGTAATTCTAATAATTTTTTTATACGCTTTCTTTATTTCATTATATTCTACCCAATCACCAGTGATCACTGTCCTGTGGTATAAATTAAAATTTTCTTTATTATTTTCCGTCAATTGTCCGTCATACCATTTATTTCTGACTTTGACCCGCTTTTGTACATGAGAAGTTAGTTGATTCATACTCGAAATCGAACAATTATTATGTCCGAGCATACCATCAGGTCAGCGAAGGTGCATTGTCTCAAAAGATTTATGAGGTTGTCTGGGCTGTACCCATCCCACGAAGTTATTTCAGACAGTTTATTGATAGGGCCTTATTTTTTTATATCGCATTTGAACATTATAGTTTCATGATCCGATATTCTATGTTCCTCCGCTTTTTCACATGAAACATTCTTAGCGTTCGAGTACAATAAGTCGATCAGTGTTTCGGAATATTCAGTAAACCTAGTATTAAAGTTAATTAACTGTTTCATTGCCTGATGGGCGAATATCTCATTCAGTTTCTTACTATATGTTGACATTATATTCAGGTTTATATTAAAATTTCCGATAATAATTGTATTCACCATGTTATCGCATATTTCCGACAAAACGGTCTCCATATATGCTAGAAAATCAGCATCACTTGAACTAGGTGAGTGATAGACCACCCCGATTTTCCATTTGGTTTCGAGATTTTTCAGTTGGATAACAAACATTTTTATCGATAGATTTGTTTAGTATTATTTTAAAATGTAGTGCGTTACGCAATATTATGATTACCCCTCCTGTATGTCTACTGTACGAGTAACATCTTACAACCTGACATGTTGGAAACTGTATTTCATAGTCGTATATTTCCTCTGTTGTACAAGTTTCGAAACATAGAACTATATCCGGATCAACAATTTCAAGTAGCTTTTCAAGTTCTATTTTATTAGCTATTATACTACTTATGTTAAGATAAACACATTTCAAGTAACTGTTATGCTTTTCATGTACTGGGTGAATCGTCAACTCCATGCCAGGGTTCCTATTAACTGATTGTAATTGTTAATAGCTGGCTCTATTTCTCTTATGCTCTAGTTTGTATACAGGGCTCGAATCGTAACATCCGTTCACGGATCGAAAACGATACGAAAGAGAATTACGTGATATGTCAGGTAGTATAAACTAAATGGGACAAAGAGTACGTTCACGTATGTTATAATCCGAAAAATGTGTTTTTACGTGACGAGTAGTACGATATCGTATGTGACGATTCGAGCCCAGGACACTGTCAGTTAGTTTTCAAGCGGTTCACGTCGAGCCCTAGACTGAATTTTTTGTTTGCACGAATGCAATTGATACACTTGTTTATTTGCTAATTTCTGCACTCCACTGTTTTATGATTACCCAAGCACAGGCAGACCTCTTCATCCTTGCACTTCGTAGCTATATGATTGAAGCCCTTACATTTGTAGCAGACTGACACACCCATACCATCTTGGACTCTACACTGCTCCCACCCAAAATTAATTTTTTCGCTTTTGAGCACGTATCAATGAGCACATTATAGTATCTAGACTTATCTTTCTTGACTTCAATATATTTAATAATTTTAAAGTCAGCCCTTTTTAAACATTCATTTTGTTTTTTAATCATTTCTGCAAGTTGCTCGCTTCATATTTAAAGCATACTCCGAATGCCATAAACTATAAACTTGGGTTTAGCCGTATTCGGCACTCTAATTTCATAGCGGTCACTTATTTTATTTGCAATTGCGGTATTTTTTTTATCGCGCTCAGACTCGTTTTCGCTTTGAATAACGCTTGTACCACTTTTCCTACCCTGCACATTGCTTATTTTTAGATCCGACGGATTAACGTTCTTATTCAGGTCTTCTTTTGTTTTCATCGCGTCTTGCTTCTCTTTTGGTTTTATGATCAGCGGTTTCTCTCTAACCATTTTCGGTTCTTTGTGATTCACTATTCCGCTTTTTAAACGCTCATCATATGAGGCCTTGCTATGATGGCTTGATTTCAACTCTTCACTTACCGACTTTTTTATTTCTTCACATATTTTCCACTTTCACTCTCATTTCGTACCATAGCCTCGCATAGATTGGCTATGCTTTTCCACATCCTCAGCTACAGCTTTCATCTTATTGGCCTCAGCTATGCTCGTTCCGCATGTTTTTTGAACTCTTTGCATTGCATCTATACGTTCACCGAATTTCCTCTCTATTGCTTCTAAAAGGAGCTTTAGCTCTTTAACCTGCATTTTTTGCGACTCTTGAAAGTCGTGTTTACAATCTCTTTAATGTTTTTACTATTATTCTCTATAGAGACATTCATGTTTCGCAACACCTCATCAATATTATGCATATATGTGAGACAACCATCACACATAAGGAACACATAGGCATTGTCCGCAAGTACTTTTTTTACTGTACACATCGAGATCAGAGCATTTCTTTGCCCAGTGAAACACTTTGCCGCATATATCTTCACAGCGGATTCCACTCTCACCGCGTATTAGGCCTTTGCACTTATGGCAGTCATCCCTTTTCTTAGTATATTTTTAGCTGTATATTTTAATTTAATTTAATTTGCTTAAGCTAGTGTCACTATCACTTTGCTATTTAGGAAAATTCACTTTCCGATTATATATATGAATCGCTATTTGCATTTGAAATGGCGTTAAACTAATAGACACCGCTGAAATTTAAAAAACTTCGCGGGGATAACTATAACACGACCTTTCACAATTGTCTTTTTTAAATCCATGGATATTTTAAATCAATACACACACAGCCCTGCTAACACGATGAAATAAGTAAATCTAGCATGCGAGTGATTATTTTTTAATGCATAAAAAATTCCTTAAAAAATTTAACATTCCAAAACACAAATTTTTTTTGCGGTGGCAGTGCTACTTGGGCAATTGGCGAAAAGTATAAAGTGAAATTACCTTCTTGTTTTATATCATGGCTTCATTCAACCGCACGACTTGTATGCACGCACACAGTGACACCAATTGCACGCACACTACAAAAATACTCTGCCGAAGCTACCCACCTCTGATCTAAACACTTTGTCGATGGCGACATGATCTCTTTGAACGCGGTTTGACATAAAAGAAGAGCAAGAACCTTATCTGTCGCTGGAAAAATAGAAATAGATCTTATGTGGCCACAACCACAGTCATCGCGTAGCCCGGCCGTCGCCAAAATAATTATCTACATAAGAGTACGTGTTAAAATAATTTGACAGCTGTGGTCCGTAGCTCGTCGTTTTCATTGTCTTCGGGCTATTAGTATCTCAGTCGTTGTCGTCAAGCTCAACTAAAGCTTGCTGCCGCGTGCAAAAAAATAATGTCGCCGTCGACAAGGCGTTTAGATTATGTAGATAAAACCTTAATGTCGTGTCGTGTGGTGATGTCGTTTTCGATGTGTTCAGAGCTTAACGGAAGACCCAAGAAGCGTGCAGCCTCTATAGCAACGGCTCTTTGCTTAGCAAAGTGCGGCTCTGTTTACTTTCTCTTTTCTTAGAACATTTTGGCTCTTTTTACTTTTTAAAATACATATTTCTTTACTGGACTTTCTTTTCCATTCTGTTGTTTTCTTATTATTATTATACACATAGGCAAATTGGCTCTGTGACTTAATGTTCTTGCCCGATATGATGGAACATTTACATAACTTGAATTTGTCTCTACAAAGAGAGAATAAAAATGTTTTTGATTTGTTAATTATTTTATGTTTTAAGCTAAACTACATACGTCTTTTTATACATGATCTCAAAAAAAGAATATTTCATAATTTTGCATGGCTAGAAAAAAAGATTACACATGTCAAAGAGGATAAATTGGACCCCTATGTCGCAAAACTACATGATTTACAGATTTTGAAAAAAGATTTGCCGATTTGAAATTATTTAAATGTACGTTTGCATACTTTATAAACCTTTTTTTATGTAACACTAGCAGACCCGGCGAACTTCGTTCCGCCCAAAATTTTTATTTATTTTATTGAAACTTTTTGGTCCAACAACTTCCCCAACAATCCACGCTTACGATTTTCATTGGCACATTTATCTGCTAAGATTATGGTTTGGTGGTCATTTGCCGCTTTAAATAACCCAAGGAAAGTGTTGTATCCGTGAAGAAGTTCTTGAAACTCTCCAAATGTGCAGAATTTCATAGCACGGATATTCGCAAAACGAAATACATTTCAGGAATTTTTTCCTCTTCACTCCCTGGCGGCAACAATGACAAGGTTCTATAGTGAATGTCTTAGAAGCTTTACAGTATTGTTGGTGGGAACTTCAAAATGGGTGCGAATCATTGTTCTACAGAAATGCAATATACATATACTTATTTCAGACGAAAAACCCTTAAAAGCTTGAACTCATAATAATATTGCAAAATCACATCCATTGGGCCAATCGTAACACAGGAGAGTTCGATATACTCAATGGTGCAACAGGTCGATTTAATCTGACCTTCACGGCACCTTTTCTCACTCGGCTATTTTTGTTAAAATAACTCGGCTCTTGCGCCTCTTGGCAGCACCTTTTGTAATACATGGTGAAACGAATACAGAACGTGGCGCTGATTGTGATACCGCTAACTCTCTCTTGAAAATTTTGACAGAAATATGACGTGATAGGAGATCTTGTGTATTGCCTATGTAATATACATATGCAAAACATATACATACTGATAGATCTCTCTCAGCTCCCTCCACCGGAAAATCTGCGATGACGTCATATTCACGTTACTCTCCCGAATTTCACATCAATTAGCGCAATCTTGTATCCTATCGGTCTTGTTTGCAATAGTATTGCTCTTACTATTACCAATACATATTTAAAACTGTTCACGCGAACCGCCTATTCCCAACGCACTGAATTTTTTTTACATAGCGTTTAGCTGTTAAATTTAATGTAATTATTGAATATTTGTATTATATACCTGAATATCGAATTTATATTTACATGCGAGTAACTTTGCTATATTCCCAAACTGAAACTTGTATATCATTGAATTTATAAATGTATCACATTGATAGTCTAAACACTTTGTCATACTTTGGTATTGCACGCGGGTGGCAACGCATGCATACGTACATATGTATAAATTTTGACGTTTACGTTTTTTTCTTATTCACTTGCAAATTCTCACTCGCCTAAGCTGAAATTAGTCAAGAACCTAAACCTACCGGTACGTAAACCCGAGTCAGCTGACACGATCTTACTTACCAGAACGCCATGTAAATGAAAACTCAACACCGCAGAATTTTTCTGTATTTGTAGCCCGTAGCGCAGAAATCTGCGGAATTTAGATTTTTCCGTGTGAGCTGATTTCTTCCTTTTATAGATGGTTGCCACTTCGTCAGTTTTGCAGATGTTAAAAAAAATATAATATCCTATTCAGAATACGTTTTTTTAAATATTTGAAATTAACTATTGAATAAGGTTTTTTGTTGAAAACTAAGTAGTTTATATTTAGCTACGATCTATTATAGCACGAAAAACTGTAGTTGAAAAGGTAAGTTCATGAAAGGCATTGATGAGTGGCAAAACTGTAGTAAGCAACACTGAGGGCTCCAGTAATCGACAAAATTCTGCGTATACAGACTGCGTTTAAGTGAACGTTCTGCGTTCTTGGCTAATTTCAGCTTTAGATACGTCTAAAACACTTAAATTCTTGTAAAGTTCGCGCAATCGAAGTCTTTGAAGTTGAATAAAACAATTGTATTATCTAAACCAAAAATTCGACTTTGCTTTTGGTTTAACCTCGCGTCGAGTTTATGTGCCATAGTGCTCGGTAGCCTTAGTCGCCGCGAATTTGTAGATTCTCGCCGGGTGCATCCCAACTGAACTTGTGAGCGATCGACCAACTAAACGTTTATACCGATTTTGGTATTGGTATCTGGTGCCAAGCACACAGGAGAACGACCAGCAACATCTCTGCGCTAGTGGAGTACCAGTACAGCCCCACGCCATCACGTTCATCACCACCGTCCAAGCGTCATCGCCATAAGAGTGTTCGCCACCACATTAGCCCCCACTCGCCTATTAGGAAGCCCTACGCGCGATCATTTGGTCCTTCTGCGGCAGCAGACCCCGAACCAGCAGAAAGTAACCTATGTTTTATATATCATTTTATTCGTATTCTCTTAATAAATCGGTTAATATAAGTGTAATTCATTTTAATCAAGTGCTTCAAAAGTTAGACGAGGAATAAACATGAAATAGAAAACAAAAGAATAAGCTGGGTTCAAATTACGTTGTTCAAGTAGTAAATTTTGAGCAGAGATTTTGAAAGTTGAACTCACTTAATTGGGACCTTTTAAATTCAATGGCATCCCCCGTTTTACCAGATTGGCTCCGGTTTTCGAGATAACGGTATTTGAAAATTTGATCTAATTTTAACTAATTTTTTACTAAAATTTTGCACATAACGGTAATATTACCTTAATTATTCCTTAAAATTATCGAAATGGGTGCACTTTAACGTATAGCTCCAATACAACTGATTACTCAGATATGTGTTTTTGCGCTATAACTCTAACTTCATATCTGATTAATAAATTGTATGCGTGCTATATGTTAAAGTGAACCTATAACAAATTTTTACCTATTTAATTGGAGGAGTTATAACGCAAAACAGCATCTCTGGACAATCAGTTGTATGGGAGCTAGATTTTAGAGTGAAGCGATTTCGATGATTTTATGAGATAGTGAAGGAAATATTAAAATACAAGCGTGTCCAAAATTTTGGTAAAATATCTTCAAAACTGAGAGAGTTTTTTTTATAAAATAGTTCAAATTTAAGCAAAGTTTCAAGTACCGCTATCTCCAATCGGGTAAAACTGGGGACGCCATTGAATTTAAAAGGCTCCAATTAAGTAAGAACAACTATCAGAATCTTTATCGAAAAAATTTGATTTGATACCACGC